AATTTCAAATTTTTCTTGTTATTATTATGAACTTGACACATCAACAAACATAAGTATTTCCCTGTGCCAAGGACAGAAAAAGAAGATTGCATATGAATCTGTGAATCTCTGCCACCTATAATTTTTGTTTTGTATGCTTCAGACTTAGCACGGTAGCTTCCAACACTACCTGCTTGTCTGTGGGTCTGAATCTTTTGTGAACTCTCCACGTCCCCTAGTGCCCAGCATGGTCCTGTGTTCACAGTGGGTACTTAGTAAATGTTTCTGGAACTTGAATGGGCAAATGTGGCCTGTAGGCTGCAGGTTATTTGAAGCCTCTCGTGAAGGGAGAAGTGTAGCCCTTTGAAGGGCCGTGGGGACCAAGCAGGGAACCAGTGTTTGTTTCTGCAGGTTTGCAAGGTGAGATAGGTCCTCTCAAGCCGGTAGCCTCTCTTCCCTAAGAGGAGCAGAGGCTCCTGTCCCAGGGAGCGGTTGGACAAACACTGATCACCTTCTACTGTTGCACACACACAGATAACACAGTTTTTGGCAGCCTTCCCTGACGTGCTGAGATCTGCAGCTCTCCTGATTTCCCTGCTCCCTCGTGATGAGAATATCGTCGGTGATTGGGGTCATTTATCATTTGAATATGATTCGGGTCAGGCTGGGCACTGTTCTCACTGTTCCAGGCTGGAATTGCAAGAGTCTGTACCTGGAGGCGGCCAGCCTTGAGGAGCGGGGACCTGTCCCAAAGGGCGTGCTGCATGGGGCTTGTCTCCCGTCTGATTCCCTTCCAAGTTAGAATAAATCATGATAGGCAGCTTCTTCCAGAAGCTTTTCATGATTGTTCTTTTCTTTTCTGAAGAAAATGATTAATCCTCTTTCAGCAGAATAACACTGAACCCAGGACAGTAGAAGCTGAAAACCTGGCTTAAGCTCTGTGCTCTGCCATTTAATTTGCTGTGGGATCTTGGGGCATCCCCCCCCCAAATCTGGAGCTCTGTTTTTTTATCTGTAACATTTTGAGGTTGGGTCAGACGGTCTTTCCTGCTCTAGCATTCTTTGATTCTGTCGTTTGGGTTTGTGTTTTTATGCTGGAAGCTTTCCCCTTGGATTCCTCCATTCCAGTTCACCCTTCAATCCACTGTCCAAATAATTTTTGGTACGTATAGCTACGGCAGTGTTAGATCTGCTCAGAAACCTTCAGTGGCTCCCAGTCGCCAGCTGTGTAAGTGGCCTGCTTTTCTGCCTAGCATTCCAAGGCCCTTGCCTTGTGCCACCACACCTTTTTCTGTAGAATTTCAGACTTGGGAAGGAACCTCAGCAGCCTCAAGCCCGTCCCCAGCTGAACAGGAATGCCTTCTGCAACGTCCTGGGCATGTGGCTCTCGGCCCTTGCTTGGAGGACCTCCGTGAGAAATGCTTTCCTTGTAAGTGAGAGGGAGCAGGACAGATGATTGCCAGCATCTTACGAGACAGGAAGCTCAGGCTCTGATTGGGTGATTTAACTTAGCCCAAGTCAGATGATGCCAAATGGGAGAGGGGGGCATCACACCCAGTGCTGCTGATTTCACCTCCAGCCCTCTTTCCATCCCTGGTTCTCTCCCTCACACGAGCCCTGGGCTTTCCTGTCTTTGTGCCTTCTCACATAGTGTTGTGAATTCCTGGAAGGGCCTCCCTTTGCCCCTTGAAATGTTGAATTCCTGTTGAACCTTTGAAACCAAATTCAGATGGCATCTTCTCCATGAGACCTTCCCTGTTGCCCCTCAGGCCCCATCCAGCATCATATTTCTGCCTCTCCTGTCAGACCATATTGTGTAATAGAGTTATCTGTGTTTGTGTCTTGTCCCACAACCGGGCTGTAAGCTTCAAGAATGCAGGGGCCGTGAATCATTTAAATGTGATCTCTCCCCCAGCACTTAAAACACTCCTCTGTGCCCTGTAGGTGTGCACGGCCTGGTAATCCCGTGTGCCTGAAGGGCAGACGGGAAGGGCCTTCCAAGCAGGACACAGCTCGATTGTAGTGATTTATGGGTGTGTCAATGCCTCTCAATGAGTTGGTTTTGTAATCCTACCAAAGCAGGAAATCACAGCGATCACTGATCCCCCGATGATCCCCCCGTGTTTCAGTGGAGGCCGTCTGTCGTGAGCTGCTTGGCTGCCCTTAGCTTCACCTCCCAACCACTGTTTTTCCATCCATTCTTTCAGGCTCAGATTATGAAGGAGCCCTCCTCTCCAGAGCTGTTCCCATCCCTGAGGGAACTTTCTTCCAAGTGTAATGTCCTCCCCCGTAGCATCCTTCTCCTCTTGAGCATGCTCAGTTCTCTCACTACAGCCATCTTGGTTTGACCTCTTGTCATCCTGCTGCTGGACCATTGCTTTGGCCAAGCTTCCTCACTCACCGTTGACAGAGTGGGGCTGGAGTCAGGAGGCCTGGTTTCTGATCCCGGCTCGGGTGCCTACTAGACGTGTGAACCATCATACGTGTCCTTCTGTAAAATGAGGATAAAACTTGTACTTGCATCCTCACAAGGGCATGAGAAAACCACTTTCTGAGCCTTAGGGTGCTTGGGAAATTTGGGGTATTCTTCTGGTGTTTGTTCTCAGCCCACTTGTGTCCATCCTGAGGGCTAATTAATCTCCTTAAAATAGTTTGATAAGGGGGGCAGCTAGGTGGCGCAGTGGATAGAGCACCGGCCCTGAAGTCAGGAGGACCTGAGTTCAAATCTGGCCTCAGACTAAACACTTGACATGTACTAGCTGCGTGACCTTGGGCAAGTCACTTAACCCCGATTGCCTCACCAAAAAAAAAAAAAAATAGTTTGATAGGGCAGCTTCTGCCAGCCAGGAACTCCCAGAACCTGCAGGATGAAGCTTCAGGTCATTGGTGTCCCGTTCTTGGCTTTTTGAGTTTAGTTCCAATTTCAAGTTCTAGTTCTTATTCCTGTGCCCCTTAACCAACATTTCTCCCACATCTCACTGGCCTCCCCATCCTTGCAAGCACAGGCCTTTGGATTTCCTGTTTCTCTGACTTTGCTTATGTCTCAGGCCCCACCTGGAATGTGTTTCCCTTTTTTTGTTGCCTGATGAAATCCCCTCTGTATTTCAAAGCCCGCCTCAAATCCTCCTTTCTCCAAGTGAGCCCAGCCAGGAGTCACCTCACTGTTTGTGTATGTAGGTACATGTATGTCTTATCTGTCCAACCAGTTTATACACCCAGAGACTATTCATTTCACAAATATTTATTTCCCTGTAAGTGCAAAGCACTCTGAGAGGCAGTGAAGGAGATAGGAAGCCTAGATTAGACACCGAGACACAGCCCCAGCCCTCAAGGAGCCACGAAGCAGAGAGAAATGTGGAGAATTAGAATATACGCTATTACATAATCAGGGAGGTGCAAGACGGAGAACCTTAATGAGGTCCAAGGGGGTTACTGGAGGAGAGAAAGGCCCGAGGTGGGAGGGCGCAGTCCAGTGTGATGAGAGCCAGGTGGGAGGGGAGGAGAGAAGCTGAGATCAGGTCGGAGCAGTCGGGCAGGGCCAGGTTGTGCCTCACCTTATTTCTGTCTCTCCCTCATAACAAGCCATTAGGCCACCACGTACCTGATTAAGTTGGTGGAGACAGCCACGTAGTTCTCTGTATCCTTCTTGGTACCTGTCACAGCACCCACCTCATAGTAGGACTTCAGCCAATATTTGCTGAATAAATCTTTTAACACGTTCATTTGACCTGCTGTACCACCTTATTCCTCTTCTTCCCAGAAGTTGATCAAAAGTCTCACACACAACCTATCCCTCTCTTAATTCATTAGTCTGGCTTCCGTCCCTACATGCTCCTCAAGCTGCCCACTTGAAAGTTAGCAATAACCTTCTCAAATCAGTGGCATTTATTTGTTAAATGTCTACCGTGTGCCAGGCACCAGGGATAGACAGAAAGCGGGGAAATAATAACACCCAACTCCCCCACTCCCCAGTCCTTGCAATCAGGGGTGGGGGGTTCACAGTCTGGTGGGGGAGACGTACAGTCAGAAAAAGGTGGAGCTGATTGGCTGATGGAAGGCAGAGGAGGGCATTGAGGGGGCTGGGGAAGGCTTCCGGGAGAAGGCAGGGAGCCTGGAGGGGGAGGCGAGCTGCGCTCAGACTGGACGCTCAGACTGGACGGTGTCTCCAAAGCTCCTTCTAGCTTTGGTACTGTGAGCTTAGAATCAACCTTAGCCTTATGCGTGTTATTTCCCGTTGGGTTTTTTTTACACGTGTGTGAATTTTAGCAAGTGAGTAAGGAAAATGTTCCCTTTCAAATATTCTCTGTATTCCCATGTGCCGTGGCTGCCCTGGCCCGCTCTCTGAGGGCCCCATTCTCCGGTTCTCCAGTGTCCTGAAGGCCATTGGAGGTTCCCTCTTCTCGGCCACTGGCACCAACTGTATTTCCCCGTTTTTAAGGGCCTCGGTTCCATTTAACCACTTAACATCACATTAACTTTGATGGAGCAACTTTAAAGCTTGCACACATTTCCCCCTAGTATGTTGAGGACATCCTCCTGGACCATCTGGGTCTCTGGGGAGGGGAGAGGGATGAGGTGCCCAGTTGAGCTCCCCGATCAGGTTCTAGTGACCCCTTCCAGGCACCTCCTCCCTGTTCTCATCCTCCTTAGGGCTCTGTGACACTTGACCCTGCTGGCCAGCTCTGCTGTGGCAAAACTCTTTCATAGCTTGGCTTTTCATCACTGCCCTGCCCTGGGTCGCTGTCAGCTCCTCTGACTCTTTCTCTGTCTCCTTGCCAGCACCTGTCGCTGCTCACACCCACGGCCCTGAAGTATACTCAGCCCTGGGCCTTTCTTCTTCCCTTGCTGGGCTGTGGCTGTCCCAAAATTTCTCTGCCTCAGTGCTCCCACTGTCTTGGAGAGGGACTGGAGCCCCTCCATCGAGGTTCGGTCACTAAGAATTCTCTTTCCTGAATAAAAGTACCCAAGCTTCTGAATGCCTCAGTTTCCCTTTGTGCTAAACTCATCCTTTTGCCTTCCAGCTCCGAAGGATGCAGGAGATGATTGCGCAGATGCAAGCCCAGATGCGGATGAAGCCTGGGGATGAGTGAGGGCCTCCGTGGACAGCAGCACAAGGTAGCTTTCTTTTTTCTTTTTCCCCTAAGTTAGATGTGCCAGAGCTTTATGATTTTTTAACCATGTGGTTTTGTCGCTCTCAATACTGGATTTGTGAAAAAGAAATATTCTCAGTAAAAGTGTATGTAGAGGACAGGACTAACTTCACATTTTATAAGCTTTTTAAAACAGAGAAAACCTGTAAACCTTGGTTTTGGTGGGGCTTGGAGAAAGACCCAGGAGCTTGTGTCGGTGAGGCTTGGAGAGAGACCCAGGAGCTCATATCGGTGGGGCTTGGAGAGAGACGTGCGCTCAGGCAGCCATTCTTGGTAGGGCTTGGAGAAAGAAGTGTGCTCATACATCTGTATTCTAAGTTGGTCGTGTTGCTCTGGAGAGTGGTCTGGCAAGAGGCAGGAAGCATCCTAAAGCGGGCTATGAGCTGGTAATCCAACCACTGGGGAGTACAGATGCTCCAGGGAAATAATTAAAAAGAGAAAAAGTATTGGTACAAAGGCGTTTGTAGCTATGTGTTAGTAATAGTGAAAAATTGGCAACCCCAAAGTGTCCAACTCTCAGGCACTGACTCTGCAGACTGTTGTGACCCAGGCACTGTCGGTCTCCACTGTCCTTAACATAGGAAAGGAGAAGGAACAGACCCCAGGGGAGAGGCCCCTCCAGAATCCTGCCAAATGAACAAGGTAGAATGAGGTTTTCTGAATGTTCTTGTGCACTAATGACTTTTTACTGTTGGCCTTAAGCCCTGGTACTCAACTAAGCCTGTAAACATCCATTCATACTGGGAAAACAAAGTGGATGAAAAATGTGGCCTAGATTTTGATGTACAGCTGGAAGAGCAGCCTGTCCATTGATATACATGTTTTGGGGAGGTGTTGGGTCCAAAGTATGGGGCAGTGGTGGGGCTAGGATTGCATCTGGGAAATTGTATGGCACTTTGGTAGGCCCCCACTGCTCACTGCCCCAAAGACCATTTCTCTGAAACCTGTATCTCCTGATACTGCTTCGTGACTGCCAGTCGTGGCATGTTGGGATCTTGGAAGGCCCTGCCAGCAATCATCTCTTCTCAAGTCAGTAAGCATTAATAAACCCTTACTGTATGCTGGGCACTGTGCTGGGGATACACACACAAGCAGAAGGAAAGACAGCCCCTTCCCTCAAGGAGCTTCCATCCTATGGGGTGAGACAGCATATAAAAGGAAGGTGAAAAGGGAGAGAGAAGTACTCAGCAGAAATACCTCATGGAGCGGAGTGAAGATGTGACTGTCCTGGGCATCCTCCTTGAAATGGGCATTCTGAAAAACCTGGAAAGACTTATTTGAACGGATGCAGAGTGAAGTGAGCAGAACCAGGAGAACATTGTACACAGCAACATCGTAACAATGATCAACTGTGAATGACTTAGCTCTTCTGAGCAATGCAAGGATCTAAGACATCTCCAAAAGACTCAGGATGGAAAATGCTATCCACCTCCAGAGAAAGAGCTGTGGAGTCTGAAAATGCAGATGGAAGTAGACTGTTTGCTCTTTTTTTTGTTTCTTTCTTCTTTCTTGCGGTTCCTTCCATTGGTTCTAATTCTTTTTTACGACATGAGTAATGTGGAAATATGTTTAATGTGAATGTATATGTAGAGCCTACATCAGACTGCACACTGTCTTAGGGAGGGGGGAGGGAGGGAGGGGGAGAAAATTTAGAACTCAAAATCTTGTGAAAGTGAATGTTGGAAACTAAAAATAAATTAATTAAATTAAAAAAAAAGAAGTGGGCATTCTGAGAAGAACCAGCCAATCAGAGCTGCAGGGGCAGTGGGTACTTCCATTGTGTGAAGTATAAAAGGGAGTCAGGTTCAGCCACACACAGTTGGAAACCCTTCCCCAAGCTGAGGATCCTCAATCTTATTTATCTCCAGGATGTACTAGCCTTGGTGTCAGAGACCTGGATGAGGTGGGTAAACAGGAAGGCAGAACCCTAAAGGCTCTGTTTTCCTAAGGCTGACACCCCCCACCAGGTGCTGTCACCCCCTGTCCTTGCAGGAGCAGCCCCTCTGCCACCTTGAACATGGGTCCTAGACCCCACGCTTCTCCTCTCCCAGGGGAGAGATGGCCCACCGGCCACGCTGGCTGCCCACGACATCTCCTAACCAGAGCAGCCCCTCAGGTATCTGGCTTAGTAAAGGACTGTTGCTTTGCCCTCCCCTTCTGGCCTGACCTGAGGCCTTGAGGTAAGCTCCCTGAGGGCAGGGCTTGCCCCATTCCAGTCTTTGTGTCACTAGTACTAGAGGTGCCTCCAGCACTGAGCAGGCCCTTCCTTACGATTGTTGATTGAGTTGAATGAGATGATGGGGCACTCAAGCCTTCAAGCTTTATAATACCATCTCTAACAAAATAATAACTAGCTTGTTTGCTCTCTTTCTCCTGGTGACTGTTTTGGTTCGGTTCCCATTGTCGCTGTATGCATGTGGCGCCTCCGTGCTTGGGCCAGTCTTGGCTCCTCTCTAGGCCTTGGTTTCCTCCTCCGTACAATGAGGGACTTGGGCTCAACTGCTTTGGAGGTCCCCTTCTCAGGTCCTGAGCTGTGTACGTGCAGCATGCTTAGCATGGGCAGTCGTCTGATGGACGTGCAGTTGTGCTTAGCGTGTGCGGTTGTCTGATGCTCTTGTCCTCACTTCGTGGCACTTGATGGAGTTTTCCCCATTTGTCATTTTAATGGCACACGGGTACTCTGCCATGTTGGTAGAGCACGGTCTCTTCAGCCTCTCCCAGGACTCTAGGCATGAAGGTTCGTCCTCATTTGCTGCTATTTCAGATAAAGCTGCTAACCATTATTTTGGGCAAATTGGTCACTTTTTCTCTTAATGTTACCCTTAGGATTGAGTGAAGGCTTAGGGACAGATAGGATCAATTTCTCCCCAGCCCCGTCAGAATGGAATTTTTAATGTAATATTGAGCCAATTCTATGTTTAAAAGTAAGTAGCATCTTAAAGATGTTTTCATTTTCCTAGAGGAGTGATGAGAGCAAAGAAAGGTGATTGAATTTAATTTGGGCATTCTCTGTGGGGTCACTGAATCCTGGGTCATCTGAGTGCTTTGAACATCCTTGATAGCTGCCAATTTAATTTCTGTTTGAGCCGCTGCGGATTTCCCAGGAGTTTGGATGAAGGGCTGGGGGTGGGGGGTGGGGCGGGGTCCTTGGTGCATCTCGGGTGCCCTGTGTGTGGCTGGATGGCCTTCAGGCATGTATTTCGGGTCTCACTGGGTAGGCTGGGGACCCTGTAAACTGTCAGCATCTTTGCCCCGGCATCAGTTCTCCGAGAAGGCTCCCTGCTTCTCACCTGGGCTACTTTCACACGTTCCCCTCCATCCACAGCTGCCAACGTCAGCTTCCTGAGGCACGGGCCCTGCTGAAGGTCATTCAGGGGCCTGAGCAAACAGTCCCATGCCCATACGAAGAGGGGGAAACATTCTTTCACAGAAGGAAGCGTGAGAAATTCCTTTATTCTTGCCCTTGTCTTCTCTCTCTAAGAAAAATATGCCTGTCTGGCAGCCAGTTTCCTGGCCCAGATTGACTTTTTGTGTGTCGAACATTTCAGAATGGGACCTAATTGAAGTTGTTCTTTTTATGCCCTACACTTAAAATTCTGTTTAAAAAGAATTGGTTTTCAATTTTATGAACGCAGAAACGAGAAGAAACCCCACAAATATCCTGCTTTTCCGTGCTTCTCTTTCTCCCTGGTCGTGCTGTCAATTTTTAGTTCTTCTGGAATGTAAATCCGAAATCAGATGGATTCTCTTCTGCCGGATGACCTTGGGCCAGCTGCCCACGTTCCCGATGGGAAAGAGGGAGGATTCTGTAGCTTCCTCCTGAGTCTTCCTTCTGGCCTTGGCCCGCCATCTTGAGGCTCTGTTGACATTACTTCGGTTTGGAGCTATCCATCTCAGAGAAATTTGCGGGCAAGGGTATGCTCATTGGATTATTTTTCCTCTTGGAAATTGAGATGTAGTGGATTCCCCCTGTAATGATGGTAACTCCTGTTTCTCTTAACACTTTGGGGTTTACAGATGGCTGTCCCCACAACAGCACTGTAGGGTAGAAGGTGTAGGTATTATCTCCATTTTTTGTTATTTAGTCATTTTCAGCTGTGTCTGATTCTTTGTGACCCCATTTGGAGTTTTCTTGGCAGAGATACTGGAGTGGTTTGTCATTTCCTTCTTCAGCTCATTTTATAGATAAGGAAATTGAGGCAAACAGCAGAGTTAAGTGACTTGCCCGGGGTCACACAGCTTGGAAGTGTCTGAGGCCAGATTTGCACTCAGGTCTTCCTGACTTCAGGCTCAGTGCTCTATCCGCTGCAGCGCCACCTAGCTGCCATTTTACAGGTTGGAAAACTGAGTCTCAGAGTGGTGAAGAGACTCAGATAAAGACAACAGCCCACATTAATACAGGCTTCAAGACTGTCAAGCCCTTTCTGTGCATCTTCTCCTTTGATGGCTGCAGCAGCCCCAGGAGCTGAGGGCTACCGTGATCCGCATTTTGCAGATGAGGAAGCCAAGGCTGGCCAGGGGAGGAGCATGTGTTGGCTTTGCCACTTTGGCCTCTGTGACCTTGGGCAGCTCCCTTCCTTTTTCTGGGCCTCAGTTTCTCCATCTGTCAAATCAGAGGGTTGAAGCAGAGGGGGTCAAGGTCTCCTCCAGCTCTAAAATCCTGCGCTCATCTGTGATTTGCCCAGAGTGTCAGAGTCAGGGCCTGCGCCCAACCTCCCGGTTTCAATCTGGGGATCGGGCCACCGTCCCGGACTCGGTCTCTCACCACGATGAGCCTCCGGGCTTGTTTCTTGATGGAACTTCCTGCCCCGAGCTCCAGATTGTAAGCGGAAAGCAATCCTGCTGACCACATGGCCCGACCTCTTGATGAAAATATGCAGCACCAGAACTGAAGCATAAACACTTCAGGACTCTGGGGGTTGGCCCAGTTTTGCAGACAGTAGCTGTGACTCAGTAGTTTTCAGC